CTTTGAATATACCGGAGATACAAGTGTGGAGATATGCGAACCAGCTGCTGTTCCAGCTGCTATAGCATGACAACAAGGGATTTTCTCAACTTGATAGACACCACAATCACACTTGGAAAGCTTTAGATCAACATTGCAGTCTCTATGGCCACCTTTCACAAAGAACTTCCATCCATCAATTTGTTGGACTCTCAGAGTATCTGCGATCTCCTCGCGAACAACAAACAAGTGTTCAACACCTCGACTATGTTGAGTTGTAAGACTCAACGCATCTCCTCTCTTTTTCCAATACCATCTTCCTAGCTTCTCCCTTATGAACTCCAACAGGAACTGAATAGGAAATCCTCTTGCTCGCTTCAGTGCGAAATTAATTGATTCAGCGATATTGCTCGTTTTTAAGTTGTACCTGTCTCCGTGAAAATGAACCCTTGACCATAGGCTCACATCGGCATCCACCAGATACTCATGAAGATCCGGATTTGCACTATGTATCTCAGCCATGTACCGATCAAAGTCATAAAGTGTATGAGCATAAGCAGCACCTTTCACCAAGTACAAAAGATGCTTCCCTTTATACTTTTTGACAATATTCTCTTGAAGGTGATANTCACCAAGTACAAAAGATGCTTCCCTTTATACTTTTTGACAATATTCTCTTGAAGGTGATAATAGCATATTCCTCGTGTTGCCCAAGGAAACACCTTCTCACATGCACTTATAATGCTTGTGTGCCTGTCAGAGACTATCACCAGAGGATGCTCAGCAGATACACAACTCGCCAAATTTGTGAAAAACCATTCCCAAGACTCATCATTTTCAGAATCTACGATCCCAAAAGCCAATGGATAAATCTGAAAATTACCGTCTTGTGCGGCTGTAACCAACATAGTACCCTCATACTTTCCACTTAGGTGAGTCACATCCACCACAATGACCCTTCTCTGATACTTAAAACCTCTGATAGAAGCTCCAAAAGCGAGAAAAAGATACTTAAATCTTTTATGAGAGTCATATTCTATAGCAGAGAAAAAACCCGGATTTGTTGCCTTGATTTGCTCCAAATATGAAGGAAGTCGCTCATACCCATCTTCCGCGGATCCTCTCACCAATTCTTGCGCATATAACAATGCTCTGTATGAAGTGGTGTAATCAAGTGTCATGCAAAACATGTTCTTCATTACATCTTTGATATGCTGCGGATTCAACCCATCAAAGATTCCAACACGATCTATGAAGAGTCGACCAATGTACTTCGGAGTAGAGTGTTTCCGCCCAGTGATTCTGTCTCCGGTGGAACATGTATGAGTTTTGAAATACTTGGTTACCCAAAATGTCTTAGTCCCATGTTTCACACTTGCTCTGATCTTCCATTGACAACCACTAACCCGACATGTTGCCACAAAGAGAGTTTTTGTTGAATTGTAAACTCTGAAGGAGAACCTGCGCCTCACCGCGCTCAACTGCAACTCTGAAAGCAGTGCATCCTTGCTAGTAAAACTCTGGTTTACATAGATTCTTTCTGCAGATGATCCTTTTCCCTCACAGCCATATGCCTCTCCGTTATCTTCAAAACAAATTTCACCATCTTCTTCCTCATCCTCGTCTTTAACCTTTCCAAATTGACTGTAATCCTCAGGATCATAAAAATCTTCAGCGACAACAGGGATGTCATCATCCTCCTCCCTATCATGATCCTCAGCTACATCCCCCTCCTGATCTTCATTCCCCACATCAGCTTCATCAGCTGCATCCTCATCTTCATCCCTTTCCTCTGAAACCGTTCTCATCTTGCAAAAGCTTGATACACAAAGACGTACTTCTTGCATTTTGGTTATCTCGAGCAAGTTTCGAACTTGTCTATCACTTGTAACATGAATAGGAGGAAGGTCTGGAGCTGGTAATGAGTAGCTAATCTCCACAGTGACTGTGCTCATGTCCAGGTTATAATCTTCTTGNACTTGTCTATCACTTGTAACATGAATAGGAGGAAGGTCTGGAGCTGGTAATGAGTAGCTAATCTCCACAGTGACTGTGCTCATGTCCAGGTTATAATCTTCTTGAGCCATTGCCACAAGTTCAGCATGTGTTGAATCTTCATTCAATAAAAACAATCTTGCTCCTTTGAAACGATCAACCAAAAAATTCCAACAACCATTCTCCATACACTGCACGTAACTGATGCGTCATCTGAGATAGTAAAAATAAAACACATTAGCAAACATAGAAGAAAGAAAACGAAAGTTTATTAGAGATCGAAGCAGGCGACTAAAATGTAAGTCGTCCAGACGACTAAACATTCAGTCGTCTGGTCAACGCAGAGGTTATTTTTGCAATTGACTTTGAAATCAGTTAGTTGGGACGACTGAAATATCAGTCGTCTGGGTATGTTTGATAAAAAAATCCAGACGACTGAAATTTCAGTCGTCGAAGGTTAGTTTTGCATTTGACTAGAATATTTCAGAAGTTTGACTTTTTAGGACGACTTACATTTCAGTCATCTGCGAAAAAATGAAATATCAATATTTTATTGAAATTGGACGACTTACATTTCAGTCGTCTTAGGTTAGTTTTGCAATTGCGAAAACAAACTTCAATATTTAAAAAAAATCTAGACGACTGAAATTTCAGTCGTCCCTGGGACGACTTACAATTCAGTCGTCTAGGATTTACGAGGTTTGACCAGAATCTCGGAATAAAATCCTGGACGACTGAATTGTAAGTCGTCTGGCGAACGACTGAATTGTAAGTCGTCTTGAAAGTTAAAGTTTTTTCGCAATTGCAAAACTAACCTATTGTAAGTCGTGCGTTCCAATAAAATATTGATATTTCAGTTTTTTCGCAGACGACTGAAATTTCAGTCGTCCTAGAAAGTCAAAATTCTGAAATTTTCTAGTCAAATGCAAAACTAACTTACGACGACTGAAATATCAATCGTCTAGATTCTTAAGATATTTTTTTGTAGCCAAAATAAAGTAGACGACTGAAATTTCAGTCGTCTCTGGAAACAAATTGCAAAGTCAATTGCAAAAATAACTTCCGTGTTGACTGGACGAAAGCAGACGACTGAAATTTCAGTCTTCTGGACGAACAGATCGCAAAAAAAAAACTCGATTTCATACCTTCAATTGGTGAGAGCACTTTCTTTGACTATATGAATCCTAGAAAATGTAGAATCAAGCACTCAGGATCTCAAACGAAGGTAATCCACCTTGAATCTTTAATTTCTTTGACTATATGAACCCTAAAAAATGTAGAATCAAAATCTTGGGTTTTTTTAGCTCATTGTGGAGAGAAAGTGAGAGATATGTGTTGTAATGTGTTGTTTAGTTCATGAGAATAAAGAAAGAAGAAGGGTAAATGAAATTTGGAGGCATTAAGAGCTTCAAAATTGGTTGTTCATGGTTGTTGGAGTATTGATGACAATGGCAATCTTGTAATTACTTGAAGATGATGAGGGTGAGAGAGTAAATATGTCATTTTCGAAAAAAAAACAAATTGATGGCATTTTCTTGAATTATATGAACTTGTGGGGTGAATTGGGCAAAATAAAGTTCCAAAAAAAAGGAGGTTAGTTTTGTGGTTGACTTCAAGTTTCAGGTCAATTCTGCAAAAAGCCTAACTAAAAAACCAATAACAATACAACTAAAGAAAAGTGGTAAAACAATGATGTTAGTACTTTTACACATGGTCTCATTTCTTAACTCTATTTCTGCAACCTTGTTTTTCTTTCGTCTTTCTGTGATTAATCCGTAAACAACTTCAAGCTGGATCATACAACAAAAACAGGATAAGTATATTAACTAAGAAGAAGAGAAAACTGAATTTGAATTAAACGTAGTCACAAGTCTATATTAATTTTTGTTGCACTCATAACCCAGGAAAATGACGAAGAGATGAATCATTAGGAAGAAGAGAAAGAAAACTTAAATATAAACGATAACATGGTTTGAAAGTATGCCATGACATTAAGAACCTACGGTTTCAAGAAATAATAGATCGTGGAGGTTGTTGGTTACAAAAAAATATATCTATAATTTTAAAATGAGTATTTTCCAAAAAGGTAAAAAAAATATCCCTTTATTTTTGGGAAAGAAATTTTTTTTTAATTAATTATTTTTAATATTTTCCAAGTGTCGCAATCTGATTCGTCAAGTGACTTGCGCTTTAGTATATAAAAGATTACTCAACTAAACTACGCCGTTTGTAGAACCGAGATGTTGAATACATACCCAATCTGCGGGGTTTTGGTGTCGGATTTTTTGAGTTTTGATTATTTGTTTGAGATAATTGGCTAAAGTGTCCTATTTGGCACCTATAATTAGAGAATTTCCATGATGTGACAATCACTTTCATTTAGACCATTTTGCCATTCTCTACACTTTCTCTCCTCTCTTTGACATCTCCCCTCTTTTTTTTTCTCTTCAATCCCTAATTATTTTACAAATCTCTATCATTCTATATACAATTAAATTTTAAATTTCATTATTTTTTCATAAGTGGCTTTGAATCCTCAATTTTGACCTTTTTTTTTTTCTCTCCAATCCCTAATTATTTTACAAATCTCTATCATTCTACATACAATTAAATTTTAAATTTCATTATTTTTTTCATAAGTGGCTTTGAATCCTCAATTTTTTGATGATATCAATTTTCTGGGTTTTAGATTCGACGTCGTGTTAGCGGTTAACAAATATTGTAGACGTTAACATAAGTGTTAGTTGTTAATAATTATTTTTATGCTTCGCGTTAATAAATGTGTTCGCTGTTAACAAATATTGTAGACGTTAACAGAAGTGTTATATGTTAACAAATGCTTTTTACGTTTCGTGTTAATAAGAGGAAAGAGAAAGAGTATTCTCGGCATTTCCTTGTCAAATGGTTATGTCATGTCCTTCATATCCAATCAATGGTATTTTGCTAATTTGAGCTTCAAATATGGGTAGTTCACTAAATCAATCTATTTGTTTTGATTATTTGTCTATCCCTAATCTAATTGAAAGAAAAAAAAAAGATTGCACCCACCACTCGCTTGAGGGAATCGAAGAAACAAGGAATAACAGCGAACAAAATCCAAAAAAAAATTAAATAAAGAAGAAAAACAAATGGCGGATCAGCTAACCGATGACCAGATCTCCGAGTTCAAGGAAGCCTTCAGCCTATTTGATAAGGACGGAGATGGTCTCTTCTTCTCTCAGATCTCTTGCTCTTTTCGTTTTTGACGATCTTGTTTCGTGATCCTGATTTTGTGTTCATTTTCTCGCTTTATTCATGTGATTCTAGGAAGATCTAGTTATTCCGCACCTGATTTGATTATAAACCATTCATTTTCTGATTTAGGTAGATTGATTTTCTAGATGTTTCTTCTAAAATCTGAAAAATGAGATTCCTTTACAGTTTCATGGGGTTCAGTTTCATGTGGTTGCTTAATAATAAGAAGAAGAGTTTGCTTTTCTCTAGATTAGTGGAGCATTGTTTCCCTTGTTGCATTATTCTTAGAACACTGTGCATCATCATAATTTGTCCTTGGGAATAGAACTTGGTAGTCCTTTCCTCAATAATATCTATAAAATCTTCTTTGGTAGGTAATTGTTTGTAAGAACCTTTTTTTGTAGACAATTATTGCTTTTAATTAGGAACTTGAAATTGTACTTTTCTTATCGTATTTGGTTCATCTTGTTAGATGTATGATACTTGAAATTTCTTGCTAGATTGTATGCAACAAGTTTCGTTTCAACTTTTTCTGGACAAGAAATTAATCTGTTTTACTTGTCAATACAAATACGATGATTGTGTAATAGCATAAGAGCGTCAGCCGCCATGCATTTCCATCATTGTGCTTTCCTTCTTCCTGATCTTGTTGACTATTTAGAGTTCCAAGTGATACTTGAAGTTGCAGTCTGAAACTTGAAGTTGGTTTGCAGGCTGCATCACCACAAAGGAGCTCGGGACTGTGATGAGATCACTTGGGCAAAACCCGACAGAAGCTGAGCTCCAAGACATGATCAACGAGGTTGACGCAGACGGGAATGGAACCATTGATTTCCCGGAGTTTCTGAATCTAATGGCCCGCAAGATGAAAGACACTGATTCAGAGGAAGAACTTAAAGAAGCCTTCAGGGTTTTTGACAAGGACCAGAACGGTTTCATCTCGGCGGCTGAGCTCCGCCACGTTATGACAAATCTTGGGGAGAAGCTGACTGACGAAGAAGTGGATGAGATGATCCGTGAGGCTGACGTGGATGGTGATGGTCAGATCAACTATGATGAGTTTGTCAAAGTTATGATGGCAAAGTGACATTCTTCGGAATCCCAAATCTGTTTTTTTCCTTTTCATCTTTAACTGGAAAAGTACAGAGTTTTTGATCCTTCTATCATTGCTTATGTTATGTTCGTGAAGTTGAACTAATAATTTACTCTAGTTTCTTGACAGTTTGAAATCATTCACTCATTATCATAGTCTTTCGTTCTTGTCTATAGTTTGCCTTTTCTTGAGATGGACAAATTTAGGAAAATGTTATTGTGTGGGAACATATTTATAAGAACTTGCGAACATGGAAGTCGTGTTTTTCTTGGTCTTTGCAGGAACAACCTAGCAGTTACTGGATGATCAAGGCTAATGAAATTTGTAACTATTTAACTCAGTATGACAAAACTATATTTTAACTCAGTGGTATAGTAACGCCATGGTAAACCGCAAGTCATCGGTTCAAATCTGAGAAGGTAAGTTTTTAGAAGGTAAGTTTTTAGCAGGACATTTTTAGTTTTCATAGCTTTAGGAAGAATACTATTAACTGAACAAATAAAATCCTTCCGCTTTCCCTTTACTTTTACTGGAGACCTTCCTTTCGTGCATCTTCTGATATCTTACATGTTAAAATGAGTTCGATTTAAGAGACTTTATTGACGTGAAGGATTCCCCTGATAACATGTATTATTTTGTTGGAAATCTGTTTTTTCAAAGTTGATTAAAATGTTTTTTTTTCATTTGTTTTTTTTTGTTTTTGTTTTTGTTTTTCTCGTCACTTTTTTGGTCAAACCAGTGGTTATCATCACCGGATTGATGGCTCTATGTAAAACTTGTAATGAGTACTACATTCTGGTATTGTCAATCGTGAAAAAGGATTAGAATTGAAAGAGAAATGATGCAACGAAGTTGGAAACTTGGTATAATCAAAACTGTGAAAGTTTGACCAAGTGTCAGAAAACACCTAAAGCCCCACATCGGCAACAACAACAGTTGTTGGGTAGTACTTATATAATTACACTCTTAACATGGCTCAAAGGCTTGAGCCGGAAGAGGATGGCTTTCTCCCATAAGTGATTCTCTCGGTTACGACAGAATCAACGACCAAAATTAAATTCCGTAGACTTAATAATCGTCATCTTGGAACTTAGCAAAACACGGCGGTAACGTTTAAACTCTCCGAAGCTGTAAAGCCGTTATTAAGGACGAAAACGATATAACCTCGAGGTTAACGTCTACGATTGTTTCTCCATCGGAAAACCGAATAAAACAATCTGCGATTGTCCAAATTAGCAAAATACGTGGCCGTAACATTCAAACTCCCCGAAACGGTAAAGCCGTTATTAAGGATGAAAACGATATAACGTCTACGATTGTTTCTCTTTATATTCTCCAAGAGGATCTCGGGTCGAGAACTAAACCATCCATACCCCTCGACTCGAACGTACTCTGAACCGTGATCGTAACATCTCTCGTTTCATTTTACCGTTGGAGTTTTACGATAAAAACCAGTAAAAGACTTGTTTTCTCGTTGAACCTCGAGTAAATCGTATAAAACGGCAACGGTTAAACGAAACACCGAACATTGCCAAACTATACGATTAACTCGAGATATTTTATAAAAAACCGCTAAAGACTTGTTTTCTCGGAAAACCTGGAGTAAATCGTATAAAACGGTAACGGTTAAACAAAACACCGAACATTACCAAACTATACGATTAACTCAAGATGTTTCATAAAAACCGCAATTTATCAGGAAACGATCTCATCTAAAGTCGTAAAACGGCTAAATCACAAACAGCTCGAAAAGTCCTAAAACGCGATAAAGGCCCACACACGACTTTAGAAAAGATCCAGCCCAAACATATGATGACTGTTTACTCATTATTTGGAGGAGTGGGAAAATGTCAAGTTTGAAGATAAAATAGAAGTTTTCCGAAGAAAAATGGAAAGATCGTGAAAAATGGAAGATTTCCGATAAGCGAGAACCAGGGCGGAAAAGGAAAGCTCAACCGCCTAGATAAGGATTATATAAGCATAAGGTCGAGGACAAGAACAGAAGAGGATTTTTCAGAGCTCTCATCTCACAGAAAAAATTAGCACTTGAAGCATTTAGGCAATTTTCCGTTTTTTTTAATCAAGCTGCGTCTCAACTAGGGTTTTAGTCTTTGGTTGCTAGAACTAGGGAACTCATCGTCAGCTGTTGTGGCCAAGGCTTTTACCTCGTTGTACCGTTCTTACGCAAAATCGGAATAAGAAACCTCTTTGCTCTCTTTTTGATTCTCGTTTCATTTTATTATCTTTCTCGTATTCTGATTGCTAGCGTGTGGTTAAGAAGATAGCCGAGACCTCTGGGAAATTTGGGTTTTCCCTAAGTTCCTTTATTCACGGAAATCGATGGTGTGAGTTTCGTTTTCCACACTTATCACGATAAGAAGATCATTTTTAGACATTTTGAACCAAATGACCAGGTGCTTTTGTACAATTCACGTTTAACAATATTTTTTGGGAAATTGCGCTCACGCTGGGTGGTCCCTTTACTGTTAAAGAAGTTAGACCCTATGAAACCATAGTGCTAATCAGCGCTGAGGGAGAATAGTTCACGGTAAATGGAAAAAGAGTAAAGCATTATTGCGCAAAAGCAGAGATACCAGATAAGCAAATTACAAGTTTGAGAATGCCGCCTACCGATTGATATGGTATCACAGTCAAGTTGGTGACTAAAAATAAGCGCTGAGTGGGAGGCAACCAACTATTAGGTAATTTTAGAATTGGTTTTCTTTTTATTTATTACGGATTTTCGTATTTTTGAAAAAGAAGGATTACCAACCTATAGACCGACGAGACCCAGGTGATATCGATCGACTGTACACCACCTGCAGCGATCGATGCTACCTCCATTCCATCGATCGATCCCGCGTTCGGTCAGGTTCTTCGATTCGCCTTGTTCAATTGAGTCTTTATGATTTATTTCCCTCGCCATAACTCCGAGTGTTTTACAATGGGACATTGTAATTTAAGTCTGGGGGATGTTTACTCATATTTAGTTTATTTTTGAGTCTTATTAAGAAGTTTTCAAAAAAAAAAAAAGAGTTTTTATTGAGTCAATGGGATTATGATCGTTTTAAATTTTTACTTATTATCTAACCACACTATAGGACCATTCTTATTTGTTGACAACAGAGTATACTAGAGATACTAAAGGGATCATCCTGCCAATAGATCACACTTGCTTAGAAAGTTTGAAGGAACCAAAGCTGACCTCCAACCCTAATCTAACTAATTTGCTTGCTTTGGGGCTTGGTATACATTTGATGGGATTCCTCCTTCAAGCCTGGAAGGTATAAGTCTGTAAACTTTCGGTTTCCTTCTCTCCTCTCTTCAGCATCTAGAAGAGAAAATATTGAAATGATTTCCGTAGATGCAGACGGGTAGGTACATTACTGATGACCCCACTATTCTAATTCAAAGGAATGATCACACATTGTGGAAGCGAGGGGTAGGTACATTACTGATGACCCCATTATTCGCCTACACTTTGTCAAAATAAAAATCAATAAGGTGAACAAGATGCAAGGCATTAGTACTTGTCTTAGTTCACTGGCATTGAATTAGAAAAGATTCAGAGAAGAGGGATATAGGGAGAAAATAAACCAGAATATGGTTACCTGTTTACTCAGATACGTGATGGGCTAAGAGTCCAAGTATCCTTTGATTGATACTCTCAAGGTAAAGCCTACACTTTATTTTATGTAAAAAATGAGGTTAGTTGAGGGGTGAGTCAAGGTAGTATTTGCTAAGTTTCTGGTAGATTAGATTTGGTTGCTAAGCTAAGATGTGGTGTATAAAGTATCTCTGAGGCTAGCACCTTTTTGGTCAAACCAGTGGTTATCATCACCGGATTGATGGCTCTATGTAAATCTTGTAATGAGTACTACATTCGGGTATTCCCAAACGTGAAAAAGGATTAGAATTGAAAGAGAAATGATGCAACGAAGTTGTGAACTTGGAATAATCAAAACTATGAAAGTTTGACCAAGTGTCGAAAACACCTAAAGCCCCACATCGGCAACAACAACAGTTGTTGAGTAGTACTTATATAATTACACTCTTAACATGGCTCAAAGGCTTGATCCGGAAGAGGATGGCTTTCTCCCAGAAGTGATTCTATCGGGTACGACAGAATCAACGACAAAAATTTTCTTCAAAGTTAAGAATAGGTTTTAGAAAGACAAAAAAGCTTCGAGAAAAAATCTATGGACTTTCCGAACAACAGAATTTCGTAAACTTAACAATCGTCATCTTGGAAATCATCGGAAAACCGAATAAAACAATCTGCGATTGTCCAAATTAGCAAAACACGGCGGTAATGTTCAAACTCCCTGAAACGGTAAAGCCGTTATTAAGGACGAAAAAGATATAACCTCGAGGTTAATGTCAACGATTGTTTCTCCATCGGAAAATCGAATAAAACAATCAGCGATTGTCCAAATTAGCAAAACACGCGGCCGTAACGTTCAAACTCCCTGAAACGGTAAAGTCGTTATTAAGAACGAAAATGATATAACCTCGAGGTTAACGTCTACGATTGTTTCTCCTTATATTCTCCAAGAGGATCTCGGGTCGAGAAAATGAGAAACAATCGAAACCAAACGACCGACCAGCTCGCCTGTTGGCGACCTAAACCGTCCAGTCCAGCTCGCCAACAAGCGAGCTGGCCAGCCTTTACCCGCTAGCCTGTTGGAGAGCTGAACCGTCCATTCCAGCTCGCCAAAAGGCGAGCTGGACATCCTTGACCAGCTCGTGGCCAGTTGAACCGTCCAGTCCAGCTCGCCAACAGGCATGCTAGCCATCCCTGACCAGCTCGCCTGTTGGCGAGCTGGACTGTCCTGTCCAGCTTGTCTGTTGGCGAGCTGAACTGTCATGTTCAGCTCTCCTGTTGGCGAGCTGAACTAAACCATCCATGCCCCTCGACTCGATTGTACTCTGAACCGTGATTGTAACATCTCTTGTTTCGTCTTACCGTTGGAGTTTTACGATAAAAACCGTAAAAGACTTGTTCTCTCGTAGAACCTCGAGTAAATTGTATAACACAGCAACGGTTAAACGAAACACCGAACATTGCCAAACTATACGATTAACTCGAGATATTTTATAAAAAATCGTATAGGACTTGTTTTCTAGGAAAACCTCGAGTAAATCGTATAAAACGGTAACAATTAAAAAAAACACCGAACATTACCAAACTATACGATTAACTCAAGATGTTTCATAAAAACGGAAATTTATCAGGAAACGATCTCA